CTGCACGGCAAGTGCTGCCATGCCCTATGAGCAAAGTGTGCTCTATGAATTGTGCAGCAGTGTCACCTCCTGCTGCAGCACCAGCCTCCTCACTCTGTCTCTTGGACCTGAATAATTGATGGCAGTGAGCACAGCAGCAGCAACAGCCTCAGCATCCTTCTTGTGCCAGGGGCCAAGCCGTTAGGAGGCATGGGGCTAGACACACAGGAAGGCCCTGGCCTATGGGGACAGTCTGAACTATGGAGGACAGGGAGCAATGGAAAGCAGAGTTCACTGGCACATTAGAAAGTGGTTGTAGAAGTGGGATGGGCCTTAAGAAATGCTGACTAGTAATAACAGGAAAATCCAGAACAGACTGAATACAAAACACAGGCACATCTATATGAGAACATCCAGACTAGGACATTAGCCAGTCCTACCCCTGCTTTGTCTTTGGGCTGAAACTCGTCACCTCTGCCTGCTGTGTGGTTAATCCTAGACCACCGCCACTGTGCCTGTGCTTGTACACCATCTCTGGTCTTGCCTTAATCTCATTTTGGGTAGACTGAACAAATGGAGGTCTTCAGGACATTCGACCTCAATTCCTTTCTGTGCCTGTCTTCTGAGCTTTCTCTGGTTTTCAAAAGCAGACACAGCAATAGGGTACAGCTTTCCCAGGGTGCAGAACCTCCCATTTTCCTCCTCATTCTCCTTATCACTCCCTTCCACCAGAGAATTGCTGTTGCTCTTTGCACTGTCCCTTCCTCGCTCTGATTACAAGTCATTGATCTGCAAGATATGAGCTCTTGTGTTCAGGCACAACCAGCAGTCCTTGAGCCTGAACATGAAACTGTCATTGCTGTATGAAAACATACTTTGCTTGAAAAGTGCCCAGGCTCCCACAGGGCCCAGCCTGACCCAAACAATGCCACACCCTCTGCCTGTCCTAGGGGATTTTGCACCCTGTGCATATCTGGAGAAAAGCAGCTTCATTTGCTCTTCCAGAGGCGGGAAGCTGGGAGCAGTGGCCTGGGCCAGCCAGGCCGTTGGCTGGCACCAGCCACAGAATGGGAGCAGGGGACATCCACCCGGGCCACCTAGCTCCAGCGGAGAGGATGCCCGCTCACTGCCACATGCCGAGGTGCCCGTCTCCTCCCAGGACAGCCTCATGGTTTCCCGTCCTCAGCCCCAGTGTGGCTGGGAGCAGGGTGGGGTGCTGGTGGCCACGAGGCCTTCTCCCTCAGAGACCAGGGGCTGGACATGCAGGCGAAGTCCGCAGCCCCGAAACCTGGGCAGCGCTGAGAACGGTTCTGTGAGAGACGCTTGTTGGTAATAAACCACCCTCGACCGCAGCACCCGGGGGAAGGCCCGGGTCCCAGGAAGCCGCCTGCACCGGGCACGGCGG